CCTGCAGAAACAATTTTCCGGTTCGTTTCCCATTTTATGCTCTTTCCATTTGATTCTGCATTGTGGTCCTATACACCCCTGTTTAGTCCCTGAAAAATATGTATATATATATATATGTATATATAAGAAGAAAGAGCGCCTAAACCAGAAACCCCAAACCCTAAGTCCTAAACCCAAACCCTAAGCCCCATGATGACCACTTTCAACCTGCAGCCCTCCCTGCGATGCCTTGCCACTTGGCTTCGCGCGGTCTGCCTGCAACGGGAGGCCATCCGTCTAGGGGTTGGGTTTTCGGGTTAGGGTTAGGGGACTACGGTTTAGGTTTAGGGTAAGGGTTTAACGTTTTAGTGCTTCTGTTATTTGACCCTTTTCCGCCTGCGGAATGTTGGGAAGAGTGAGGCTTAGCTTTGAAAATGCACCGCATATTAGGCTCGTAGGTGTTGGGATTCAGGGTTTCTAGTGTTCAGGGATTGCACCTTTAGAGCTGTAGGATTTTAGGGTTTACGGCGTAGGGCCGGGGGCTTTGCGTTTATGCTTAATATGTTAGGCTTGGAATGGGCCCTAACCACGGCTGCCTGCTATGGCCCGTATATAAACCCCCAATAACACGAATCCCCATCATAGGGACCCCCAAAAAGGAATCCCCAATACAATGGTAATGCTGTTGACGGATGAAATCTTGCACCCTAAACCCTAAACCCTGGGAACCCTAAACCCTAGGAGCCCTAAACTCAGTAGTTCCTAAGACTTTAGGGACCTGAGATGGTGTAAGATTTCATCCATCAAGCGGTTTAGGGTTTAGGGTTTAAAGTTTAGGCTTTAGGGTTATAAGGGCTCCAAAATTAAGCGCCCACAGGTCCAACTTCTCAGTCGATGGGTTCTGGATTTATGGTTTTGGGGTTGAGGGTTCGAACTTTGGGGCCTAATGTTGGGGCTTTGGGGTTAGGATTTCGGGGTTAGAATTTGGAGTTTTGATTTTGTATCTGGGATTTGAGGTTTGGGCTTTGTTTAGGATTGGGATGTACAGGGTTTAGGGTTCAGGCGTTGGGTTTTGGAGTGTAGGGTTGAACAGGGAATCCGCTGAGATTGTAAGAAGTATAAAGGGTTTAGGGTTTGGGTCCTAAACCCTATTAGAAGAGTGGACAGGTGACGGGGATAGAAAGGCGGGCTTGGGTGAGGCAACATGGGGATACCTACCGCTGGGTTGAGGGCTTTGGGTTTGAGGTTTAGGGCTGCACCCCTTGCATTGGGCTTGCGAATTAAGAAACATAAGGATGATTTGGAACGACCAGCAGTCTGCTTACCTTTGGTTAGCTAGGAATGAAGGAATGGATGCTTATAGTAATCCATATATAGCCCGTTATAATAAATTCCTTCTTTTGCATTCCCAGCTACCCAATGTAAGCCTTCAAGGCAGTAGACGATATCTGTTGTATTCCACAGTATATATTGGGATAATGGAAAAGAAAATGGACACTACTATATATAGGGCTATATTGCGGTTATATAGGGATAATGGAAAAGAAAATGGAAACTACTATAATGAATTGTTTTGGTTTTAGGGTTTAGGGGTTTAGGGTTATATAGGGCTATATTGGGTTATATAGGCTTATATAGGGTTATGTGGGAAGTTTAGGGATCGTATCCCACGCGAACCCTGAGATTGATGTTTCTTCGATCGCTCGGAAGGCTCCTTGAGGAGTTCTTCCCTAAACCCCGAAAAGTGAAAAGAATGACTACCCTAAACCCAAAACCCTAAACCCTCAACCCAAAACCCTATCTGAACTCCTGGCATCCCCCCCCATAACCCCGATAGAACCCCCTTTAAGGAGTTTAGACCCTAAACCCTAAACCCTTTATAATCCCCTAGATAACCCCCTTTACTGAGTTTAGACTATAGCTCTTGTGGGTTTCCGGCCACTTGCTCAGATCTATTCTTGGGATCCTGGTAGGTATGCGACACAAGTTGAGAGACCCAACACCCCAAGCTGAATTTAGGGTTTAGGGCTTAGGGCTTAGGGTTAGGGTTTAGGGTTTAGGTTTGAATCTTGGGGGCTCTCAAACGCAGAGACCCTGAGTTCCCTGAACCCTACCCTAAGCCTAAATCCTAAACCCCTAAACCCTAAAAAATCACATTGTCAACCCTAAACCCTAAACCCTATACAACCCCATTATATGAGTTTGCATGTTTCGATGATTCCTAGATAATCCCTGAACAACCACACTGGGAACCCCCCCAAGAGGAGGCCTGCGCCCGGCCAAAGCGCCGGAGGCCGCGCCGATGGAGGAAGCGCTAAGTCCAGAGGTTTCCTTTTAGGGTTTAGGGTTTAAGCTTTAAGGTTTAGAGTTTAAGGTTTAGGGTTTAAGTTTTAAGGTTTAGAGTTTAAGGTTTAGGGTTTAAGTTTTAAGGTTTAGAGTTTAAGGTTTAGGGTTTAGGGTTTCAAGTTTTAAGGTTTAGGATTTTGACTCTTGGGCTTTGAAAAACCAAACCGTAAACCGTGTCTTCAGATTTTTGGAGTTTGCAGGTGGAGACCAGCGTGAACCCTATGCCATGCTCCGCTGGTTAGGGTGGCTCTCAGCCTTGAACCCTAACTTTGGGATTTGTGGGGGGTGTAGGGTTTAGGTTTAGGGTGTAGGATTTAGGGCTTATGTCATGGGGGCGTTCAGGGGGAAACCTGGATAATTTCAGCTTAGTTGCTGAGTTCACTGGCCCCAAAAAGGTCAACCTTTGTAGCATAATAGGACTATTTTTGCCCCAAAAAGTTACAGGTTACCTACCCAGCTACTAACCTCAACATGTCCTTGAAAGCAGAAGGAGCTTCCCCCCGCGAAAGTCCGTCTGCAAAGTCTACCGCAGACCACAACCCCACAATCGCCTCATCCTGAGCCCTTAGACCCCTACACGAAACCCATCCACCCACCGCCCTCCCCCAAAAAAACAAAAAAAAAACACACACACACAACAACTAGCAATCCTAATGATAATAGTCATATTTATATATATGTATATATACCAAAATGCTAAAAGAAAATAGAAAGGAATAACAGTAGTTGGAATAATGACCAAGCCCCAGCCCACCCCACCCCCCCCCCCCGCTTAGAGCCTAAGCTCCTATGTTTTATAATAGTTTCCCATTTTCTTTTCAAGTATCCCTATAAAAACCCCAATATAACTAACAATATCCCAAACCCCAATGACAGGCAGCAGTTAGAGTGCGCTCCTTCTGGGCGTAGAGCCACGGGAATCCGTTCCCCGTCAGAGTTGCCTCCAGAGAGCCCAGAAGACTCAGAGGACTTGCTTTAAGGCTCTGGGGGACTTAGTTTAAGGTTTAAGGTTTAGGGTTTAGGGTTTAGGGTTTAGGATGTAGGGTTTAAGGTTTAGGGTTTAGGATTTAGGGTTTATGGTGTAGGCTTTAAAAGCGGGGCTTAAAAGTTAGGGCTAAGGGTAAATTCCAAAGGGCCCCCAAAATGATACAGCAGCCCTTACAAGGACCACTTGAAACCAATTATACTGGGTTCCTGCTAAGGAACTTTAATTAAGCTACCAAAACTTTGACATGTAGTAAATAAAAGGGCTTCCTTAATCTAAGTTCCTCAACAGCATAAGCGAGTCTAGTGGTTTCATGGACTGTCATCACCCAAACCCTAAACCCTAAACCTTTCTGGGGGGGCTCCTGGGGACCTGGCTGGGTTGTTAGGGTTTAGGTCCCAAGGGTCTGGGGTTGATGTTGTAGATTGCTTTATAGATTCTTTTCGGGTGGTGGGTTTGGGGTTTACACAGTTCTAGGGCTTGTGGGCTGGTCTTTAAGAGTTAGGGTGTAATGTTGATGAAATTCAGAGTTCCAGGTTTAGGGGTTGGGGTAAGAGCCTGGGTCTAGGGCTCACGACTTAGGGCATTGACGCTCCCTAAACCCTCGATCCTCAACCCTAAATCCTAAACCATCATACTTCTTAAGCCTCTGTCTGAAAGCCCAAACTCCCCAATCCCGCCTTATGTCGATGGAGGAAATCTTGCACCCCTTAGGGTGTAGGGTTTAGGGTTTACGATTTAGAGTTTAGGGTTTAGTCCCATATCCAGGGGGTCTGAAGTCGAGCAAGATTCCCTCAATCCACCGTAGGTTTAGGGTGCAGGGTTCGCGGAGCCCTACTAAACTTGCAAACGATGGACTCTTCATGTTGAACCCCAACTTCATATAGGGGTATATAGGGATTATATGATGGCATAATACAGTAACATGGTATATAGGGATCATATTATTATGGGCATAAGCTGTAGGCTACACAATAGGGAGCATGTGGGGATATATCATAGAGCTATATTGCCAAGAATGAATTTGACCCAAGTCTCCACGGAGGCCCAACCTGAGGCACATTGTTAGAAACATCACCAGACCGAGAACACACAGTTGAATTGCTTGTGTATGTGTATATGCAGGTTTAGGGTTTAGGGTCTAGGGTTTACTGCGATGTGTGTACATGGATTGTTCACAAAACTTGCTCGATAGAAATCCCTGATAGGACTGCAATTGGTCCCCTTATTGCCCCAACTTTGAGAAATCTCCATGGTAGTTTCCGTAAATTGCAGGACCCCAATCTAGACCCCCAAATGCGGGGCCCCCACAGCGGCCCTAAACCCTAAACCCTGTACCCCCAGTTTTAGGAAACCCCCCCACATGAGAACCAGCTACGGCAGCTTTTGACCACTTCTTCGCCTCGCGATCCTGAGGTTTAGGGTTTAGGCTTAGAAGCATGGAGAATCACATAGCCCTGAACCCTAAACCCTCAACCCTAAACCCTAAGCCCTAAACCCTAAACAGATGGTTATAGCACTGAATGTAGAGGCCCAAGGGACTGGAATAGGTGTTGTTCTAGGGTGTAGGGTGTAGGGTTTAAGGTTTTAGGGTTTAGGGTTGTGGGTGACATTCTACTACCATTGGTTAAAAGCAACACTCTAAGGGAAGAGTATTGACGATCGCCAGGCTTCTCCCCAAATCTCCTGCCTGGGTGATAGCACCGCCGAATGCCAGCATCGCCAGGCGTCCGTTCTTCAGTTCTTTGAGTTTCATCTCCTTCACTGTGGGCGGTTTAGGGTTTAGGGTTAGGGGTTTAGGTTTAGGGTTTAGGGAAGCTCTTTAAAGGGGGGATATATGGGGGATTCTATAGGGGACTACTATAGGAGGGGGATTTTCAGGAGTTAAGACTATAGCTTCCTATGTGTTGTGGGAGGCACGAAAGGGTTATAGATAAAGGTTGATTATTGGAGAATATCCGAGTACGTAGGCCTTAAGACAAATTATACCATGTAAAAGTTTAATGGCTTAAGGCTTCACAGCCATTTCGAATTTAGGGTTTACGGTTTAGCTGTAACCAAAATTATTTGCACTTCCCCTAATTAAGAGGTGGCCCAGTAAAGCACAAACTGTAGGTAATTGGGGTTACGTGTAGGGTTTATGGTATAAGGTTTAGGGTTTGGATTTAGGGCTTGGTGGATTGGGAGTTAAAGGTTCAGGGGGCTCACCTTGCAAAACCGGCATTTGCTCATTGGAACGTGCCCAAGGGCTAGATCTTCCCATCAAAATTGCTGGCAGCTTGACGTCCAGCAGTAGGGTCCACATGACGGACAGCAGTAGGCCCAGCCAGCACCCCCGCCGGCGCCCACGCCAGGGTATGGGGCCACCATTCTTTACGCCGCTTGTCACGGAGGAAGCGGGAATACCCCATAGATCTGTCAACAAGAGCTCTGCAAGCCATCTCAGCACGTGCTAGCCACGACCTCCAGGCTCGAGAGAGAGAAAAAACTCCGAACAGCCATGCATGGAACAAAGCGTGCTCTGCGATAAGGGTTTAGGGTTCAGGGTTTGGAGTTTAGGGTTTAGGGTGATAAGTGGTCGTGCAAGGAATGGCGGCTTCAACACAGGTTGCATACTGTAGGGTTAGGGCTTGAATTCAGACTTTAGGGGTTTCGGGTTGAGGGGCTTAGGGTGTAGGGCTCTGTTTTGCTGATGCCAAGCCGGGCAAACCAACACCAGACAACCCTAAACCCTAAACTTAAGGGAGAAAGTGCGAAGTAAGATATGCCTCGTACTCCCTAAACCCTAAACCCCCTCCCAAAGGGGCATCCCACCTCCCCCTTTTCTGTTGAGGAAGGTAATGCTGAGAGTTGATGGCTTACCTTTCAAGGTTCAGGATTTAAGGTTTAGGATTTAGGGTTTAGGGTTTAGAGTTTAGAGTTTAGGGTTTAGTGTTTTGTAGTGTTTTAGGGCCTAGAAAAAGCTAACGTCCCCAAGTGTGCCGCTGCAAGGTGCCAAGTACGGCTGACTTGATTTGCGTCGACCCACTAATAGCGACCAATGGGGCAATGGTAACTTTTTTTTGTTTTTCGCTGTCTATGTTCCTTTGTACTACCTTTTCTGCGTGGCGACCAAACCCAAGGGACCCAACTGTCAGAGCAGTAGGAGTTATACACTAAACGCCGTAAGCAAACCCCTAAACCCTAAACCCCCAAACCCTAAACCCCTAAACTCCGAAACCCTAAATCCCTAAACCCTAAACCCCCAAACCCTAAACCCCTAAACCCCTAAACCCCTAAGCCCCACTTCATCCTAGGGTCCCGGGGGGCGGCTTCTTGTTGAGAAACGCAGGGTTTAGGGTTTAGGGTTTAGGGTTTAGGGTTTAGGGTTTAGGGTGGGTTTAGGTGGTTGTCGAAATGTTGGTCCTTTTTTGGATCCCTATGATAATACGGCCCCTAATATTCAGGGTACCCAAAAAGGGACCCTAGTTTTGACAACCACCCATATATCCCTGGAAGAAAGCAGGAGTGAACTCAGGTGTCTAAGATTAGGCAGGGTTTAGGGTTTAGGGTTTTAGGGTTTAGGGTTTACGGTTTGGGGTTTAGGGTTTGGGGTTTAGGGTGCCAAGCCATCTACAAACCACCTAGGTATGTTGGGGCTTAGGGTTTAGGGCTAGACTATGACGGGATATTGGAGGGATGATCTACTGGCCTTTGGTTAGCTAACAAAGAAAGAATGGATCCTGGTAGTAGTCCCTATATAACTATAACCCATTATAGTCTATAGTAGTTTCCATCTTCTTGTCCATTCCTTCATTCCCGGCTACCCAAAGGCCAGTATAGGGATTTGGGGGAGGAACTCGGGACCCCAACCTCTGCCTTTCAGTTCCGGTGCCTACTGTCTTCTTGAAATAGCAAAACCCAAATCCTTTTACATGGGTGCAGAACCTTTGGGTGCCTAGGGTACCACTTCCCTATCGTAAACCACGCCGCTACACCCTAAACCCTAAGCCACCACTTTTGTTTCCTAGCCCCTCTTTTGTTGTACCCCGTGCCCTTAGCCACAGAATCCTACGTCCGCAAAACCAAACCGTTGTGCTTAAACATGCCTAGACCCCAGAACCACAGACTTAGAATAGGGCTTGGATATATCCTAAACCCTAAACCCTAAACATAGTACAAGACGGATTAGGTTAATAAGTTATCGGGGGATAGTACTAGGAATCAGAGAAAGAATGGCTAGTCTCACGCATTTACATCACCAGTGTTCTGGGAAACCACAAAGGCATTAAATTAGTAGGAACCGATATTTGGGGGTTTCCCCGAATCTAGGGTACCCTTCTGAGGGGTCCCCATGACAAGGACTGTAGTATCTTGGGGTCTATATTAGGGTCTCGCTATTTTCGGAAACTACAATTTACCACTATACTTTTGAGGCCCATTGCAGGTATCCTAAACCACAACGATCCAAAGAAGCTAGGACCATAATATTGGCAATTCTAGCTGGAAATCCTTACCTATGCAAACGCACTTTCCATTTATTGTTCCATTTTCTGTTCTGTGTGATTGTCCATTACGCCTACATACACCGCTATACATCCGAGGGCTATATCCCTACTCTCTGCTACTGTTGATGGATGAAATCTTGCACCACGTAGGGGCCCTAAACTATTGTAATTCCTAGGACTTTAGGGACTTAAGGTGGTGCAAGATTTCCTCCATCAACAGTACCATGGAGACATGCGGCACAGGCTCGTTTTGGCAAAGCCGCACCACAAATACACTCGCACCTGATTATTCAAGCTTCTACATTTGATTCTAAACCCTGTATATCCCTCTAGACCTCAAACCAAAACCCGTAACAATCATACAGTTGGGAATTTTTCAGGCTTGTACATGAAATATGGCCGCCTTGACCTTGACGGGATCCGATGGCAGGAATTGGGTACCCAGCGCATAATCGCCTCATTCTGATAGAGAAGGGGCTGCAGCCGTTGCAGGATTTAGGGTTGGGGCTTGGAGTTTCGGGTTTAGGGATGGGGTTTGGGTTTTAGGGTTTGGGCAGAAGCCTGAATAATCACCAGCACCTTTTAGCTTGAATTCCTGACGAAGGCATGTTCTGATCTGCCCTCGAGTTGTCAGAACCCCGAAAGTATGAGGCCTATACACTCCTATACACTGAATCCATTGTAACGTCGCCCATGCATCGCCAAGCAGTGCATCCTTGAACGTTGAAGCCCCTAAACCCTTCACCCGAAAACCATACAACTGGGTTGCTGCTTAAGGAGTTCAAATAAAGTTACTACAGTGAAGGAACCCCCTTACTCAGTGTATACCCATAGTACGGTAACATAAATTAGATTCCCTAACAGCAACCCAGACAAGGGCCTAGCTACGCGGAGGAGTGTTACATATCACGGCAATTCTGGGTGACTGTCATTCTTATCGTTGTTATTACTATTAATACGATCATTACTATTCAAAGTATTTCATTATTATTGCTGAGGCTTAACCTGGCTGTAGCTTTGGTTTTTGTTCTTCCTGAAACACACATAGGATCGCACGAAATCTGCTTCAAGTAGATATGTAGCCATTTTAAGAACAGCCTTTCAAGTTCCATGTTAGATTGTTGGTTTGAAAGAAGATCATATGAGTGCTCAATCGACCCCCAGAAAACGAACAACACATTGCAGAGACCCCTTAGTACCAATAAGTTTGAGGAGACCGTATGTATGAATGATTATGCATCTATTTATGCATTTCCGCCGCATAAGCACAACTGCACAGCCTCCACGTCAGCTTCTATAATGTAAGCACCATCAAGCTGCTGCACGGACCATACACTGCCCTAACTATGCTCCGTTTTTGAATTGGATCCATTTTAGGCGGTCCTTCTGTGGGATCAAAACAACCCTCTCTGTATAGCAGGACCCCTTACACAACAAAGGCTCCTTAAAAACTACCAAATAGGCCACTAATCTCTCTAAGGGGCCTAGTACGTAATGAAAGGAAGGATCCCCAACAGTTGCCCCCATACAATTCCAACAAGGGTTTAGGAGGGTTTAGGGTTCTCTCTTCCGTTCCCTAGAAACTCTAAAGCCCAAACCCTACCTTAAGCAAGATGGCAATTTCCAATGTCTTTCCTGCTAGATCACGGTTCAAGGGGCCATGCCTTGTGGTAATACCCAAAATCCTACCAACAAAAAGTGTAAAATGCTAAGATAATACGAAATGTCTGCGAAGACAGAATTACTTACAATTCTACTCAGAACTCAGATACAAATATATATATATATACATATATATATATATGCAGGCCGGGGGGGTAATATATATATATATGTATGATATACACACATCTATGTCTCTATATATATATATGCATATGCAGGCCTTGGGGGGATACCATATATATATATATATGTATGATATACACACATCTATGTCTATGTATATATATATATGTCCTTCAACTCCTTACAAAGGGAACTAAGCCTAAAACCCTAAACCTCCAAACCCTGAGCCCGAAATCCTAAGTCCTAACCCTCAAGCCCTAAAACCCCAAACCCTAAACCCTAAACCCCCAAACCCTAAAACCCCAAACCCGCCTGCATTCTCCAAAGTCAGACCGGGCTTGTTGGACACATTGCAGGACTGCGGAGGTTAGGGTTCTAAGGTTTAGGATTTAAGGTTGACGGGTTTGGGGTTGAGGGTTTAGGGTTTAAGGTCTAAGGTTTAGGGCTTAGGATTTAGGATTTAGGGTTTAAGGTCTAGGGTTTAGGATTTAGGGTTTAGGGTTTAGGGTTTGAGGTTTGCGGTTTAGGGTTTAGGGCTGAAGGTTGAGGATTTAACTTCGGAGGAGTGAAGGATTTCATGGGTTCCCATACTACTCCCTAAGTTGGCGCCTGCGCGAATAGGCTTAATTAGCTCTAATTATCTCTGAGTAGGGTTTTGGGTTTATGGTTTGGGGTTTAGGGTTCAGAGTTGAGGGTTTATGGTTTGGGGTTTAGGGTATAGGGTTGAGGGTTGGGGTAACCTTCGGACCAAGTTGTAGGTGAACCCGTAAAATGATTTGGGTTCAAATTGACAGGAAACGCGAAAATGCTTTGCAAACGATGCGGCTATTCGGCTTTCTAATGAGGGGGCAGGGCAAGAGGGTGAAAGGTTCAGCGGACTAGGATCTGTAGTCCCCCTAAAGTAGATAGAATATGGCTTTGGGTATACTACAATAAGATCCCCATACACCCCATATTCTGTCTACTTAAGGGGGACTATAGGGCTCTATAAGTACCAGTGAAACCGTCTTCAGAGGATCAGAGTTTCAGGGCATCGTCTCGCGAACGTTCTACTAAGTCAGCCTTCAGGCTTCAAACAATACCATGCCCCTATGCCCTGCACCCCCAAACCCTAAACCCTAAGCAATCGTAGTCACAGTAGCACCAGTAGTAATACTAACACTAATGAGTGGTAATAATCGTAATAGTAATACTATTCATAACAATTCTTTGCAACCTTGGTAGAACCGATCTCGCATGTGGTTGTTTCTCGGTGCTGCCGTAGTCGGTCGACATCATGGAGCGAGGGGCATACGAGGAGTATGCGAAACAACAACTATGGCATCACCAAATCGACTGTGTCCCGAAACGCTTGCCTACCCAGGCATTGGAGCACGAATTCCAATTATCTCATGAGAATCCCTGAAGCACGTCGTGATGAATCCCCATTCAAAGCCCAAACCACGAAGCATCCTATATGAGTGTTTCCTGAAGTTAGGGGTACCTTTTTGGGGGGTCCCTATAATAAGGAATATAGTATTTAGGGGTCTCTATTGGGGTCCCCCTATTTAGGGAAACTACCATATCGATACCCCCTGGAGAATTAGAACCTCCCAAAATCTCCTCCTTTTCCTGCCATAGCATTGGTTTAGGGCTTAGGGATTCTGAGATCTGGTGGCCTGCAATGATACAGGTATATATCTTAGCTGCACTGCGGCGCTTTCAGAAACAGGCACCCTAACAGAACTGGGCTTCTGATGACGGCTGCCCAAAAGAGACCCTTCTTTTTGGGAAACTTGACGCCTCCTAAGATACCTAGACGCTTCTCCTTGAACTTGTAGCCCAAAGCCTCATCTAAACCATCATCACAAACCCTAAGCCCTAAGACGAAACCCTAAGTCAAAGCCTCAAGGTCTACACCTGAGTTTAGGGTTTAGGGTTTAGGGTTTTAGGGTTTAAAGGTTTAGGGTTTAGGGTTAAACACTGATTTCTAAACCTTCGCCCCTAGAACTCTAGACCCCAAAACATGACTGCCAACACCGCAAACCCTACCCTCCGCCAAACTAAGACAGAACCACATATGACCCGGGGTTTAGGGTTTAGGGGTTTAGGGGTTTAGGGGTTTAGGGAGGGGTTAAGTAAAAAAACAAATAAGGATCAAAAAAAACAAATAAGGATCAAAAAAAACAAATAAGGATCAAAAAACACAAAATCCTTGATTTTA